TGCATATGAGGCAACAGGAAATACCCTGACTTGGGTCAGGCCCACCTTAGTCCTCAAAGTAACATCCTGGCTTTTCAATACTCTAAAGAGGTCCTGTGCAGCAAGATTGACCTAATGCAATGTGTCATTAGACCTCTTGACTGCTGCTTCCATGACCATTGATGGTGGACCCAAGTAAGACAAAAACCCTTGACAACTTCAATCTTTTCTCGATCTATCATGATGTTACCTGTGGTCCATTTGTGAGGATTCTGGTCTTCTTTGCATTGAGTTGTCATCCACACCGAAGGCTGCCATCCTGGGTCTCCATCAGCAAGTGCTTCAAGTCCTCCTCACTTTCAGCAAGCAAGGCTGTGTCATCTGCATATCCCAAGTTATTAATTAGCCTTCCTCCAATCTTGATGCCACATTCTTCTTCACATAATGAAGAAGAACTTAGCTCCCCACTTTTGGAGAAAGGAGCCACTGAAAACCTTATGCATTATTCTATGGAAAGTATCATTAATTCAGCCTATTGATTAGAACTTAAAATGCTGTTGAGAAAAGGAAAATTATACATGTGTAGGCCAAACGCAACAGCTCACAACAACAACAATCTAAGAACAATGAATCCTTTTGATATAGCCCTACCCAACAGTCACCCTCATGAGGAGATCACTGAAGAAATGGGTGCAATAGCAATAAGTAGTGAACAAATTAGATGGTGCCCAGCTATCAGAAAGAACAGTGTTAGGGTCTTAAACACTTGTCTTAGAACAAGCAGTCATATAAGAGAGGCGTTAGCTAAGTCCACATTGAAGATGTACACCAGATTGTGTGATCCAAGGATCATAAATAACATATTTCAAATCCGAAGGTGGGAATGGGTATGTGGGCTTAAATTATGCTTGGTTTGCAGAAGGCTATGGATGACAGTGGAAGCCCAAAATCCAATTATAGGGTCACCACATGGATTAAGCCTCTGGTGAGACCCCTCTGACCATAGTTTCGGGATGTATGTTTTTCTATCCATGAAGTCTAGGATAGATCAAACTGTAGAGATAGTAACTAGACTAATACTTATTTGGGGGGGGGGTGAATAATTTTCAATAGGGTGGTTGGTGGCTTTTACAAACATATGACAAAATCACGCAATGCTGCCGGCATTGGACGCCATCCGGGGCCACAAGTCCACACACTCCTTTGCAACGGGTCCTGTGCTGGCCGAACCTTTCATCTCGCCTTTATTGTTTACTATGACCCCACATTATCTTCAAAACAAAGAAACACACCATCTTTTCTCCGACAGGACTTTTGTTGTC